GAGTATTCGTTTTCGTGTTATCTCCATTATCCTCACCAGGCTGTTATGTGTTTTTCCTTACAATAGACAGACTTAACAGTTCCCCATCCTCCTCCCCCACCCCCGGCTAGACTCCCCCAAACCTCCCACATTACCCACAATCTACTTGTCTCTAATCTACTGTGAGTTTAAAAGCCAGAAAACTTTGCTCATTAGAAACATTTGAAATAAACGTGAACATGCTCTAACTAAGGGTGGCAAGGGCTCTCCGATGACTACAGCTGTAAGATGTAAGGATTTGGACAATCTGGTTACCTTAGGCCTTTTCGCTAGTGTCTGTTCCTCAAACTCATTTTATAATAGGTCAAGGATAAAAGAGTTGGAAAATCATCTGGTTTAGAAAGAAAACAACTGAAAGCTACAACCAGAGGAGAACAAAAGAGATCATGTGAGAAGACCCTCAGGTCTGAGGCTCTGCTCTAAGTACTTTAATCACGATCAATGATGATTTAATCTTTGTAATAATCTTAAGAGGTAGGTGTTATTACCTCCATTTTCATTCAGAAAACCAAGGCTCAGGAGTAATTTGCCCAACACATTAACTGAGGAACTGACTGTAAGCCTAGGTCTCTCTGATTCCAAAGCCCATGGCCTTTCCACTACACAAGAGTGCAACCCAATCCTTATTCTCGCTTTAGCTAATTGTATTTACACTTTATTTCTGATTCGTTCATTGGAACCTGACTGATTCAGGTTTGCTTTCCTTCCCTAACCAGTTTCTATAACTAAAAGGCAATGGATAATCAAACAGCGGCCAAATTAGGCTTAGATCGGCAAGAGTTCATCTGCTCAGCAACTAATGTGTCTGAAAGACTGGCTATATCTTCAGTTTGTACAGATTATGCAAATATGGTGACAAGTATCTCCATCTTCACATACACTAACTCTGCCCAGTGACAATATGGGTTAACACTCGACACCTTCCCTAATGCTGACCTCTACATTCAAAAGAAAGCAATGTAAGCATACTTTAGAAACTAGCTCAGTCATGTATTACAATCCCCCTCAATTTGCACACTAACATGACTTTCTTACTCTAAACACTGGAGGACAGGGCAAGGAGATATGAAGACTTCCTACTTTTCTAATGCCATTAAAGGTCTGGGATATATTTATTCCCTGTTACTTTACTGCCTAGTCCAGAGCCTGACACATAGCAAAATGCTATTTTACTGCTGGTTAAATGAATAAATGCTGCTTGTTCAACAAATATAAATTATTTATTGCATAAATGTGTAACCTCTCCTGAACTAGTTTTGAAACCTCTGTATTTCACATTTTCTAACATGCCTTTGCAATACTTAGTGGAAAACATCTTCTCTCTTACAGAAACTAAGAGCTTAAAAATGGTTCCTCTGCTCCCATCAAAAGACATGCCCCTCTCCATCCTCTAAAAATGACTCTTGTCCCAAGAATATGAATAAGCCTCCATCTGCCAGACTGCACTAAATACAGCTTTTATATGCATTACAAAAACACCTGTATGAAAAAGCTGCTACAAAACGAGGCCTTAGAAGTCCTCAAGTACAAAAACAACAGAATCAAAACCAAGTAAGAATATGGAGCGCTTTCAGACCTTTATGAAAGTCAAAACTGAAAATATCTGCAAAACGTAAAAATTCAATAGGTCTTTGATCAGCAGGTTAAGTAAACTGTTTTTCACTCACATATTTTCCACAACGTGAAGTAACAAGATTATAGCAACATATTTGCAATATTTATAATAGGAAATTGAAAAGAGGACTTTTGTCATCTTGAAGTAGAAACCACCTTTGTTCCTGAGTAAGAGATTTTCTGCTGAAACATACAAAGCTATCCCCAAATTCCAACTTAAGAGTTAAAACACATACCAAGCCTGACAACCACAAACAACAGGAAATTACTCTGCACAGTTTCTTACAAGACTATTATTTCATGAACCTTACAGATTGTGCAGCGATTTGAACACTTACGGCTCGGTCCAGGTAACAACCTTGAAAAACTAAACTTTTGTTGAACACCTACAATGTGAAATCACTTTAGAAGGTACAGCTACAAAGTACAAAAATTAAGTTCTAACAGCAATTTCTTACTAAAACAAACACAGAAATGGATGTTTCCAATCATTACATTATTATACAGGCCAAAGAACTATTTTAAACTCAATTAATTTTAACATTAAGAGTATAAGTGGATACTCACCCTAGAAATGCCCACAGACTTGAACTATTCTTATTTACTACCACAACTAATTTTATGGTGGAAAAAAAAAAAAGACTTAGGAATTTAAAAAATAAATCAGTGTTACTTTCTGATTTTAATATGTTTGCTAAATGACCTTTTGGTGGATAAAATTCTATCAATATCCTATACGGCTTTTTTTTAAGGCAAATGAAAAAAGAATTCTCAAATCATGATACATTTATGAAATCCATTTTACATTATTTCTTCCATCTCTGTATATATTTGCTTCACTTATTTATTCATTCACATTTAAACTCAAATTTCATGTAACTATTTGCCTTACACATCTGTGTAAGGAAAATTTTTCTATTTTAAACGGGTCAAAACTAGAACAAAAGCTACTGTATTTTCAGAGTAACCGAAAATTTATTATCTTCTTAGTCTCAAGGAAAACAGCTTACAATCAGTGAAGGTTCAATTCATATGAAATCAGAAGAGAGAAAATGAAAAGGAACTATTATTTAAAAGAAATTCAGAATTCTGGAAATAAATCAAATTTCAGGGACCATTTTTGAAAAGATGTAATTAATCCAAGTAAGTTTGTGTGATCACTTACTTCACCTGCGTCGTTCTGTAAGTTTAAAACACCAAAATCTAGGATACTCCAAACTCTTAACAAACAAGACATGACTTACAGAGAAAATACTATTTCCAAATTCGTCTTACCTGGAAACGCTTTTTAAAGATTTAGTTGACAACAAACTGGTAGTATTCAGCTTTTAAAGGGTCAAGAGGAAGGAATAACAAAACCGACCTAAGTAATGTTCTTCTTTTGTTCAGGATCAAAAGGAAACCACAACCACAAAAGGGTTAAATAAGTAAGAGACAAAAGTACCTAACCCAGCCCAAGAGCAGTATCCCTCAGGAGAGAACAAAACAATTGAAGTTGCAGATCTGAAAACCAAGTTTGAAATACATGAAATCAATTAGCGTGCTCTCTAAAGGCGTGTGATAAAAACTAATAGGCTGCGCTCACAGGGCAACTTTCACAAGTGAGTAGAGAAGGATCTGCACAGAGTATGAGACGTGTGCGTGTTTGTATGAGAGTACACACAAGCGATTCTGAACCCCAAGACCAGAATGGTTAACAAAGGTTACAGCACCAAAAAAAAAAAAGTGGAAGCAAAGTATCTCACGCTCCTAACTCGGCTTCCCAAAGACTCCCGAAACCAGAGCTCTGTCCCTCTGGCTTTGAAAATCAGAACCACAAACTATAGTGTGT